GTTTATTTTATTGGTTATATATAACCAATAAAAGTTTAATAAGTACCTACCTATTTGCAAAATAAAGTTTAATTCTTTAGATAAAATAAAACGTTTTATTTTATCTGAAATGAGTGCATTCCACGAAGTAAGGGTTTCAACAATCAAACATTTAATTCTTTAATTCCAGGAATCTACGACAGTAATTGACTAGATAATTACCTTCTAAACTTATTCCACAGAAAATGTGATAGTGGGTTTTTCCATTTTGTAGGAAGGTCCAAGTGGCGTATTCAAAATTCTTAACAGTTCACTAAAAGTAGGTACTTCAGTTGCAAGGTGCAGTTTATTGTGTATACTAGTGTTATGGAAAATTTGGAAGTGCCGTGTAAACGCCGAAAAATTGGTCCTTTAAACACTTAATGAAAAAACATTAATATTTAATTGTTTTTAAATCATTTACAGACAAACGTTTATGTGAAAGTGTTGATGAGACCGTTGAGTTAGTTAGCAGTACACTTGGTGTTGGGAAATCTACGATTTACAAAGTTATTAAAGAAGAGAAATGTGGTAGTTTTCAAATGCCACGCAATGCTCCAGGGAAACCAAAATTTCAAATAGAATATCATTTTAAAGAAGGACTTCGATGGAAAGTGCATGAATTCTTCTTTAGACAAGAATTTCCAACATTGGATAAAGTTCTTGTCTCAGTTCGAGATGATAAGGATTACCCAGAAATGAGTCGAAGTACGTTATGGAAACTTTTAAAAGAAAAAGGCTTCCGCTGGAAAAAGAATCCCAGAAAGTCTATTTTATTAGAAAGAAGCGATATTGTCATATGGAGAAGACATTTTCTAAGAACCATAAAAAAAATGAGAAACCAAAAAAGAAAAATATTTTATCTTGATGAAACATGGATCAACGAGGGTCATACACCAAATAAATTTTGGCAGGATGAAACTGTTACAAGTCAAAGGTACGCTTTTGTAAATAACTTATCTACTGGTTTAAACCCACCATCAGGAAAGGGACGCAGGCTGATAATAATTGGCAGTTCAGACGGTTTTGTTGAAGGTGGTTTATTAACTTTTAAATCAACTCGTACCGGTGACTACCATGAAGACATGAACGCTGATGTCTTTCAAGAATGGTTCGAACAAATGATAGATCTTCCTAAGAACTGTGTAATAGTAATGGATAATGCAAGTTATCGCTCCAGACTTATAGAAGGACTGCCCACAACCAAGTGGTTAAAAAAAGACTTGCAGAATTGGCTGAGTTCAAAAAATATTACGTACCATCCCGGATCTATAAGAAAGGAACTTTATTCGTTGTGTGCCCTTCATAAAGAAAAATTTAAAAAATACGAAATTGATGAAATTGCCAAAAATCGTGGAATGACAGTACTTAGATCCCCACCACATCATTGTGAATTAAACCCGATTGAACTGGTATGGGCACAGATAAAGAGTGAAGTTTCAAGAAAAAATACCACTTTTAAAATTCATGATATTAAACAGTTGTTTTTGGAGGCCGTAAATAATGTAAAACCTGAAAACTGGGAAAAGGCAGTAAATCACACTATTAAAGAAGAGGAAAAAATGTGGAAGCTGGACAATATTACTGATAAAATGATCGAGCCAGTTATTATTTGGTTCTGAAAGTTCATCTTCTGTATCTGATTTGGATTTGTAACAAGTAGCTGTAAGTTTTATATTAATATTTTTATTCATCTATTTAACATACCTTAGACGGTTTTAAAAACTCTTTTTCTCTTTTATAATTTTTAAAAATTAAAAAAAATATGAATTTTTAAAACTCTTTTTAATGTAGGCCAGTCAGTTCTAATATATGTGTGTGATAAAAGAGGTCACTTTTGTTTACATACACATAACACTTTATAACACTGACAAATTCATTTATTTTTTACAATTATTCAAAGTAATTTTTCAATTAATCTTGAGCACGCCTATGGAGTGGTCAAGATTAAAGTGGTCAAGTGGATAAAATTATGCTAATTACTCTCTCGTTCATAAAAATAAACTATAACGATATATTAATACAAAGTCGAAGATCTTACTGAAGACTTCTTCTTCACGTGTCATATCGAGTCAGAGTTATCGGACGTTGGTGATCACCATTGCGAAGGCTTCTCGATCTTCTGCCACGTGTAATAATTGTCCTGCAATTGATAGCAGAGTCCATTCACGAATCTTTTTTAACCAAGAAACTTGTTTTCTTCCTACACCTGTATGGCCTTCTATTTTGTCTTCAAGGGTCAGTAGTCTATATTGATTTCCTCTTACTGTATATCCCAGATAAAACATTTTCCAGTGTTTAACAGCCTTTAACAATTCTGTATCTTTCAAGTATCTTCAGCATCTGTCTATGAAACTGCATTTTCAATGCTTCAATTCTGTTCATACTTTACACGTTTAGTGTCCACACTTCTGCTCCATACAATAGTACAGAATAAATATAGCACTTAACCATTCTTTGTCTTAGTTCTAAACTGAGATGATTATTGAAGACTGATAATTATTGATTATTGAGCAATTGGTTTTTAAATTCATTCCATAGTTGCTCTGGATCTTCTAGTTGTTCTGTAATGTTCTTTATTCTATTGTTAAATTTTTTTTATTGTTATCTTATATGATTATATCGTCAAAATTAATTATATTGGTTTTTGTCGTTGGATTCGTTTTAACCTTACCTTATCGGCCACAAGGGGTTAATGATCCGATCCAATATCTGCTCCTGGAAATGTAGTGAGTTTTTTGACGGCCTTTCGGAAGTGCTCACTTACAAGTAGTTATATTTGGTTTCTTGAAGACCCGGGCTGCTGCCATCATCAAATGGGCTTTCCAAGTATGTAGGCGTCGCTTGGGTAGTTGTTACCAGGTGTTTGCAATGACAATGCCGTTATCTTTATAAAATTCATATAATCTGTGTCCTCGAGTACAGTTTACCCTCGTCGACCTTCCCCAATTTTTGCATTAAAGTCGCCTAATTTCATATTTATTAAACTTCTGTATTGGATTGGATCATAGAGCTTGTCGACTCATATTTTCTATCTGCAGTCGGGGCATATATTTGAAATATAATATTGGTTTTGACTGGTTGAGTATCTATTTGAAGTTGTCTTCTTCTTCTTCTTCTACTTTTTGTAGATCTTTCGATCTGTTTAATTCTGAAGCTGCCTCTGGTTAATTCCTTGGGAGGTAGATTGCCAACTATCCCTCCATCTTTTAGTTGGTCTTCCGGGGGGTCTTGAACCGGGCGGATTGTTTTCTAGGGCAATTTTTGGGAGTCTATTCTCATCCATTCGTCTTACATGGTTGTACCACATCCTCTTGCGCTGCTTTTCCCATCTTACAATATCTTGAATTTTGCACTGCTCTCTAATGTTTGTATTTCTCACTCTGTCTCTTCTTGTTTTCCCCATTATTGTTCTTAGGGTTTTCATTTCGGCAACCCTTAGCATCTGTTTCGTTTTGTTGGTATCTTCGCGCACTTCTATGCCATATGTCATGATCGGTCGTATGCAAGTCTTATAGATTCTAATTTTACTATCTGTGCGCATATACGGATTTGACCAGACTATCTCCCGCAGACATCCTGACAGTGCAGATGCTTTGTTGATCTGACTCCTCAGGTCCTTTACTGGGTCGTGGGTGCTTGATATATCTATGCCCAGATATCTGAATTGCATCACCTGTTCTATGGGGTTGTCCTCAACCACTAACTTACATCTGAGCGGATCTTTTGCTATTGTCATACATTTAGTTTTGTTGGTAGAGATGTTCATATTTAGTAGTCGGCTTGTTTGAAAGAACTGAAAGAGCTTCCTTTGGAGATCATCTTCTGATTCGGCAATAATTGCTGCATCGTCTGCGTAACACACCATACCAATTCTTTTGTTGCCCATTCTATATCCGAGATTAAGAGATGTTACTTTGTTGATAATTTTGCCCATGAGAAGATTAAACAAGAAGGGGCTTAAACTGTCGCCTTGTCTAATTCCTCCCGGTGTTGGAATATTTTCAGTGAATTCGTCTCCTGCTCTAACTTTGGTTACGTTGTTGTTATTTAGGTTATGGAGTATCTTTGTTATACTGGTCGGTGTTTTATTTTCTATTAATATATTTAGAAGGTCTTCCAGGCGAACTCTGTCAAATGCCTTCGTCAAATCAATGAAGCAAATATACGCTTGCATGCCGAACTCTTTGAACTATTTGAAGTAATTTGGAGTAACATGGATTTGATACTGAAGACTAGTGGGGTTAAATTGTATCTTAAATTGCCTTAGTTTGTAACTTTTTATTTTATGTAATTTACATAATTGAAAATGCTCTTTTTTGAATATTTTTTCTGATCCATCCTGATTTGTTTTTAGCTAAAGACTGAACCGCTTTATTTACTTCTTCGATGATTGGCAGTTCAGTCTCCTTGTACTATAGCTTTATAGGGTCCCTACCCTCACCTCTATTTTATTCATTCTTGTTTTACATAGCCTTAATGTCATTAGTGTCATACAGACTAATAAATATAATAAGTAACTACAAAGTACTAGTCGGCGCCATGTAAAAGGTCGATCATAAAGAAAATAAGATAATAAAAAATGAACGAAAGAAAAGAAAAAGCCATCGATAGCAATCGTCAAATTTTCTATTAATTATCGTGCCTTCAATTCGATGATTCACTTAGTAGGATTTGATTGGCTTTAGTCCGTTTCTGGATCAAATTCGTTTGTGTGGTGTTCCTACACATGGTGCGAAAAAATCAAGTGACATCACAGAAAAACTTATTTTTTCAAATTTTCAAAAAACCTAGTAACGTGCCACGATACTAACAAAAAATGAAATAAATAGTAAAGGAAACTGGTCAAAGTATTAACACATACCATTTTACGATTTATAAAATACATATCTTATTTGTAATCATGAATATAAGTTCATAGTGATTTTTTTCTATTTGGAATTAAAACCGAACGAAAATTTGAGTTGTTTATTTTGTTTCAGCTTATGGTAAAGTGTTCCTAGTTAGAAAACGAGGCGGTTCCGACGACGGCCGTTTGTATGCCATGAAAGTACTGAAAAAGGCAACGATAGTCCAAAAGAAAAAAACGACTGAGCACACTAAAACCGAAAGACAAGTCCTCGAGGCCGTCCGCGACAATCCCTTCCTAGTTACCTTACACTATGCCTTCCAGACGGATGCCAAACTACATCTCATATTAGGTAAGTAAAATAATATTTATATATATTAAGTATATTAAGTTTTGTTGAAGTATGTTATCCTGTTCTAAGCTGCGACGCACAGAGTGGTACTTAGCATAAAAAGCTGACCAAAACCAAAATTATAAAAACTAAACTTTCGGGTCGATTCTTATCCCCAAAGCAGTTAGTTATATCTTTTAAAACATAAACCTTCTAGAACTTAAGAAATTAACTAATTAATAAAAAAAATTAATCCAATTTTTTGTATAATTTTCAATATAAACAAATGCCTTTTAGTTACTCTCGACTCATCTACACTGCATAAGAATTGTTTCATAATAAAGATTAGATCTACTTTCATAAACAGTTTTCCAAGCTTTCATAGATAATTTGCATATTTAAAAAAAATAGCACTTATGTTTTTTGACCTGCACTTTGAATATGAAATACCGTGAACCATCTAGCACTTGTTTTTTTTATACATTTTGTAATATTTTTGTACATTTTGATGTATGGAGCTTAATAAAAAATTCATAAATGATCTTGTACAACTCTAAAAGTATTTTCGTTTTTATTTAATTTTATGAAAACTGTTTATGGCAGTACATAGTCTAATCTTGACTATGAAATAACTCGTATGCAGTATCGATGAGTAGAGAATAACTAAAAATATTCGCTTATATTGAAAATTATACAAAAAATTGGATTAATTTTGATTGAAGTTCTAGAAGAGTAATGTTTTAAAAAATGGTTCAATATTCAGCACTTTCTGTCCTCATAAACTGCCTCTTACCAAAAGTCACTTGAATTATTAAAAATAAAGAAATCGCAAAACATAGAAAAAAGTAAAGTAAAATCTCAAAACTAAACGCAGCCAAAACATATTACGAAGTGACAGCTGTCAAATTTGTTCAAGATTCGGTCAGAAATGTTAGTTTATGAATTTTTTATTTTGGCAAGCTTTTGATATAAAATACCACTCGGTGCGATGTTACGACATTAATAACGTAAAGATGATAAGAAGTACTGATGTTATCCTATTCCAAGCTGTAACGTTAGAAATTAACAAAGTAAAGATGATAGATGTATCGCAAGTGACCGTTATCGTTACCAATATATTGCCCAATAATTGTAATTGGGCAATAATAATTACCGTCTGTAGATCGTATTGAAGTATTGAAGATATATGCATTTTTTTTCTGTCAACTGAATAGAGTTTAACATTATTGTATCACTATCTACTAGATTGCTTATTTTTTTCACATACTGTACATAAACTGTGTAGGGGAAAGGAAGAGGTAGCTGGTTCGACGATTTAAAAGCATATATTTGAAAAATTATATTTCCACTTTCCTACATTTGGTAGATAAAAATGGATACAACTCTCGAAGGACCAGCGGCCAATAGGTCGCAAAATTGCAGATTATTAATAGTGTAGTAAATAGTAAAATTAAAAAGACAATAATTATAATAAGATTGCCGGTAAAAATATTTTTATTTTATTATTTACAAAAATAAATAAGCAAATAATAAATATAACATAAATATAACAGTGAACGACTCAAAGATAGCAAAACCAACTCCCTTAGAGATGCCCTAGAAGAAAATACAGATACCCAAAGAATATTTTCTTATCTTAAAGACTGTCAACTTATTCAAAAGATCTAAAACATACATTGTAATACACATTCATATTAATAGTATTGTAAACTAATCTTCTTCTTTAAGTGCCATCTCCGCGGTGGAGGTCGGCAATCATCATAGCTATTCGGACTTTTGAGACGGCTACTCTGAAAAGTTCATTTGATGTACATCCGTAGAGGTAATGGATTTTAACAAGAGCTATGAGTCATGCCGATTTAGTACACAAGTTTACAAGGTCACAGCTCTTATCAAAATCCATCAGCTTTACCACTCTATCAGGTTACGCAGCCATGACTTTCTACGCCTCCCTATGCTTCTCTTTCCTTGGATCTTTCCCTGCATAATCAGTTGGAGCAAGGTGTATTTCTCTCCACGTGTGATTTGTCCGAAATATTCTAATTTTCTTGTTTTAATTGTATTTAAAATTTCCATTTCTATATTAATCCTTCTCAGAACCTCTTTGTTTGTGACGTGTTCTGTAAACTAATGTATATACACTAATTGTATCAACTGTCACATTAATCTAAATACGCTAATGACCCTGCGTGGTTGATACGTTATTAAAATAAAAAATAAATAAGTGTATCGGAATTGCCAACATATCATTCTTGTTAATCATAATAAAAAACATAAATGTTCAAATAAAATTGTTTAAACTGTTAAATTAATTAATTAAATTAAATTAACTATTTAATAAAATAAAATTAACTTGAAATCTGCTTCTATTTGAGAAGCGTCAGATGAACTACATATTTACTTTTTACTTGCTTCTCAAAAAAGTTGGGTTTGAATAGTTTAAATCTAAACTATTGTACAAAAGACAATAAATTTTCTACAAACTCGATAGTTTTTGAAAATGAAATTTCGATAGAACTTGTTTTAAAACTATAACTGAATGGTGCTGTAAATTTATTTAGATGTACCCTCAAATTTTCTATTTTAGAGAAATCCTTCCAAACATTGGTTGATCCTAGAACAACTCAAAAAAATGTTTGTAACCATGCGCCAAGATCTTTATTAACGAAAATTTGTTCTTGTTTATTTTAATAATCTAGATACATTGTTTTTATTCATTCATAGATTAATTTACTACATATAGGAGTGAGTAAAACATGGAGTGGGTGTTATTGTGGGAAGTACAATTATTGTGCGACTCTTAGCAATTACAAAATCCAACTAAATAAGATACGAGGCTTCAATTTTTTTATTTTTTTTTTATATATAAATTTATTATTGTTCAATATACCCAGTCTCAACAAGATACAGTTTCTATGATGCATTCGCTTAAAAGTCTGTCTGAAAGAGCAGGATTAAAGATAAACTTTGAGAAAACTAAACTTATAACAAATCTCGTAATGAGTGGAAATATAACTATTGACAATAATACCATACAACAAACAGACACAAATATCTGGGACACGAAATCAAAATAAGCAGAGACAATCAAACACATGAAATACAGAGGCAAATAGGCCCAACTTGGGCAGCATTTGGCAAATTAAGCTATATTCTAAAAAGTTCAATTCCCATGTGTCTCAAGCGAAAGGTTTATAACCAATGTGTTTTACCTGTACAAACTTATGGAGCTGAGACTTTAACACTCACGCAAAAATCTGCGAATAAACTCAGAGTTACACAACGAGCCATGGAACGTGTAATGCTGAACGTGAGCCTTCGAGACCACATAACAAACCAACAAATCCGGCAAAGATCAGGAGTTCAAGACGTCATCGAAAGAACCACGTCGCTTAAGTAGAACTGGGCAGGGCACTTAGCCAGAGCACAAGATGGACGGTGGACAAGACGTATTATGGAATGGAGGCCCAGAAGCTATAAAAGAAGCCGAGGACGACCACCGACTAGATGGACCGATGATATAAAACGTGTAGCGAGAAACTGGCTATAAGCGGCCCAGTGTAGAGAACACTGGAAAGAACTGAGGGAGGCCTATGTCCAGCAGTGGACTCGATTGGCTGATTGATGAATATAGCCAGTCTAAACTTTTGTTCCCTTAGATTATTGGCTTGCAGTTTTTAATTTTTACCTTTGATATATTTTTTTTCTTTATATTTTCTAATTTGTTCATCTAGCTATCTGGATCTATTTTTGTTTGATTGGGTGGTATCAAATCTCGCATTACTACAATTTATTGTAATCGTACTTATTTATTTATAATATATTATTATATAATTTGCAAAATATAAAGCTCAGTAGGTCCGCTATAATAATAGATAGCAGTAAAAGTTAATGACAAAAATTGTAGGGAACTTTGAAAGTCGTATTATAAAATTATTTAGAATTTTGCAGGGTGTTCGATATCATAGTGGAAGACCATTAAGTTTTTTAATGGAACACCCTGTATTTTATTTTATTTTCGAAATCTTGTTCACTTTCCTATAACAACAGTATAAAGTTTTATTATGTTAAATAAGGTATCTACAAAGTTATAATCAATTTTCTATGAACATGGAAACAAGTTCAACTCCAGCCCAATAATAAGGATATATTGCTGCCACATTTTTTTAATGATTGATGTGATGTAATGATAATTTTCAAAAATAATTGATATTGTACCAGTACCATACTTCAATTTTTTGTTAATATTCCCTGTCTAAATGTATTAGTTTTGAGATATTTTCATTTTTCAGAGCAAATTCAAAGGCCTCATGAAAAAGTGTTTTTAATTTTAATAGGTGTCCTATAGTAAATGAGATGTGCTGATCACGAATATGTACTTAGTTTTTTTTCCAGCACGTCAGGTTTTCAAGAAAAGTGTGTTTAAAATTTTTCATAGAAACTGCCAAAAATACTGAAAAAATATTTATTAAAACTTTAATACAAAAAAGTACACTACAAAATTGAGTTGTTCTTAAAAAAGGAATTCAGTAAAACCTATTTTAGACAATATTTGGTTTTTTTTTAATCAAACCGTTCTTTTTTTTTTCATTTTGAATATTATGAATATAAAAAAGAGAACTTGAATACTTAGGCCACCTGATGAGAGGACAAAAGTACACATTCCTACAAAAATATAACGCAAGGAAAAATCCAAGGACGCAGAAATCCAGGCCGTAGAAGAATGTCCTAGATGAGAAATTTAAGAGAGTGGTTTGGCTGTACCACTAACGAATTATTCAAAACAGCAGTTAATAAAATTAGAATCGCCATAATGATATCCAATCTCTGATAGGAGAGGCACTCAAAGAAGAAGAAGATCTTTTTTTTTTCATGAAAACTGTGTTTTGTGGTTTTCTTATGGATTTTTGTGATCGAGTCCCTCTTTAAGGTCCAGCAGTAATCAGCCATCATTCTTATATCCCATCTTCCTTGGTAACGTCTCTCCAACTCCTTTATAACGTGTTGGTACCTCTCTCCCTGCTCCTAGCTGATAGCTCTAACATTTGCGGGACAATAGTTAACGTGGGAATCCAGAAAATGAAGTTTAACGCGCATATTGCATCCCAGTTTTTTATAATTTTCGTCCATGTTGGCTACAATTTCTTTATAGTTTGGAGACTTGTTGTTTTCAAGGAAACCGTCTATTACTTCTACGAAAGAACTCCATGCTTCAGATTCATCCTGGGTCATTGTATTCTGGAGCATATGTTCGAATTTGAGGATCTACAAAAATTCCTTCTTTAAGTTTAACTTCAGAAGGAATTTGTCGCACAGATATTTAAAGCAGTCACCTTGTTTATCTAAAGCTTTGACAACATTTATGTAAAGAGGGGGCATAAGAACTAATTTTGGGGTCAACTATTGTATCATGTTGCACATTTTTTTTGTCCCGATACAAGTCTTTCTCTGAGTGGCTACTCGTTCTTAACGTAATGTAAATTTCTTGCTCGACTGTTCCACTCGCACAAAAAACATGGATACTTTGTGAATCCAGACTGCTGATCCAAAGGCATGGATATTATTTTGAGTTCTCCACAGAGTTGCCAACAATATTCGCTATACTTTATTTTATTTAGCAACAGTTCAAGATTCTCTTATATTTCTTTCCGATGCACAGAGTGAGCAACAGGTACTGAGGCATAAATGTTACCATTGTGCAACAAAACACCCTTCAGACTTCTCTTAGAAGAATCAATTAATAACCGCCATGATGTGAAATCTTAATTGTCAGCTCCCAGTTTTATGACTACTTCAGAAATATTATGACAATACACCAGTGAGTTCTCTTGAGAAAATATTCCGCGAACTCTTTTTCACGATGTCTATACTACGAAAATGTGGTACCTGGAACCAATAGATTTTTATCTTTCAGTCGTGATCCGTAGATTTGTGCAGCATCCTTCGATAGGCCCAAGTCTTTCACTAAGTCATTTAGTTCAGCTTGGGTAAAGCTTTTGAGGTTAGTCTATCTCAGGATTGAATTCGTCTTCATCGGTTTTTTCATCGGTGTCTGAACTTTCATCTAATGATTGCTGTTGGATGATGTGAAGAAAAGTTGGAGGAATAGTTGGAGGAATAGGTTTGTGTTTATTTTTTGAATTGAAACCCTTGATATCGCAGGAGCAGAAGGATGTGGAGCCGAAAGGTAAAGAATTACGTGTACGTTTTGTTCATTTTCTCAGTAGTTCGACACACTGAAAGCACACTTTGTGTGGAGTCCAAGGTTTGTCCTGATCACCAAGCTTTACACCGAAGTAAGCGTGATAAGCTTTCTTTATAAAGTCTATCTGTCTGTTATAATATATAGGATGATCAAATATCGTCTAGAAATTTTTAAGTTCGCTTTTTGAATCAGCTTGTCTATATTATTCTATAGACAAAATGTTAAATTTAATTAAATAGACAATATTAAAAAAAAATACACAACAAAATATTTGTAATTTTACTATTTATAAGGATACAGTATGCCAAATCTTGACAATTTCAAAATAAAATTGGTAGTATCTCGTAAAACAGTACAAGGAGGCATAATCTTATATTGGCAACATTATTAAGAACTGTTCTATCGAAATCTGTAATAATATACAGGATATTTAAAATAAGGAAGTTTTTATTAACTTCCGGTAGAACCGGAACAGACTTTTCTAAACAGTCTAATTAGAACCACTAAAGAATCACCCTGTATATATTGTGTCCAATACCATGTTAAAGATGTTCACGACTTCGACTTCTAAACTTGTATTATTTAATTTGTGTACATGGAAGAACTGAATACATTTGGTGGAACAATAAAAGTAACAATTCTAAATTAAAAATAAACAAGCCGTACATACACGTCTAGAAATGATGGATGTATCGTTTTGACGTCGATAAACGTGCTAAAATAGTGTCATAAAACCGTAATTTTTATGTTCACATTGATAAATTGTCTGAAAATTTGTTCGCGATTAAAAACCCAAATTCCCAACGCGTTTCCATAAATTACATTATTATAGATAGGACAACCGTCTGTACCATGTATTAACTAGATAAGTATACAAAAAATAAATTATCGAACATGATTTACATTAATGATGATCAACAAACAATATCATTAGTTGTATTTTTGGGTTATAACCGAAGGACACGATGACGGAAATGATCACGTGAAACATTTGCTCCAGTCAAAATAAAGATTTTTTACTAGCAACTAAATATTTCGACAAATAAAAATTTATTGCAATTGTTAATTTATACCAAATAAATTGTAATATTAAAAGACTACATTGACCAGATATTAAAAGTCTATAAATTATAATAAATATTCCAAAGGTTTGATTGCTGTACGTATGGAAATACATTGATGGCGAATAAATACACAAATATTTTTTTAATTGTAACAATTTAAAAGCACATATTAGATCTCTTAGGTCCACAGATATTTATAAAATTATACAGATAAGGAATTGAAAACAAAGTAACACTCTTCTATGTCATCCTCGTAATCATCAATGAGCCCTGATTTGTCCATTATTGAACATATGCCTCCTCTAGATGTTTCCATCTATTTATGTTCTATGCCTCTGCTATCCTATTGGTGGCAATTCTTTTGTCCATCAAAGAATTTCCACCGCAAAGTCGTTGGTCCATCGTTTAGGTGTATCTTCCCT